TGGGCATATAGGATAGACACTCATTCGCACACTGGGCATATAGGATGGACACTCATTCGCACACTGGGCATATAGGATAGACACTGACTCGCACATAGGGTATAGAGGATAGACACTCATTTGTACACTAGGCATAGAGAATAGACACTCATTCACACACTGGGAATAGAGGATAGACACAGATACACCAGGCACAAAAGATAGACACTGACACACACTGGATATAGAGGTAAGACACGCTCACTCACACACCTGGTATAGAGGATAGACACCCTCTGCTCCTCTCCTCTTCCCCAGACTCCAGCTCTGAACCCTTGGCTGGCAGTTCTGGAACAAAGCCAGACCTTCACCCCACCAGACCTGACCCGGCCTCATCCCGCAAGAGAAGGAGGAAGCAGGACGTCCCAAAGAAAGTGGAGACTTTGCCGTTTCTTGCTGAGGCATCACAGCAAGGGCCGGCATACAGCGAGGACAGAGACATGGTGAGGGCGGGGTCACAGCGTGGGAGCAGGGACACTGTGGGTGGGGAGTGTCGGGTCAGGGACACGATGAGGTATCAATCCATTTACCTGTCTGAGCCAGGGACCCCCAGTCCTGTGCAAAACAGAGGGAGGTGGTGACTTAATTTAAAGTTAATAAATTAAGGAGCTGTGTTGGGGGTGTCCTCAGGTCATCTATACCAGGAGCCCCCAAACCTGGAGCAGTAGGATCACTGTCTAGAAGGGGTCTCCCATCTGCCCTCTGGCTCTCCGGGGGTGATATTAGTGCTGCTGCCGGCGGGGAGGGAGTGGAGTCTGACCCACTGGGGTCTGTCTTTCCAGGCTGTGCCGTGGAGCAGGAGCGGCAGTCCAGTGCAGACTAGGGGCTCCTCCGCGGGGCCCCTGCCAGACCCCGACACAGCCAGCTCCCCCATCTTTTTCTCGGACTTCACCCCGTCCCCTCCCTTCCTCCTGTTCCCTGCTGGAGACAGCGCGGCGCCCGAGGGCCTGGGGGGGCCTTCAGAGCAGGCTGAAGGCAGCACAAGGGGGGCAGGGGGGCACTTCGGGGCTCCGGAGCGCCGCAGCCCGCAGCATCGCGCTCGCCGCTCCTCGATCAGACAGGCCTGCGGGGCGCCCTGTCCCCTCTCTCCTGCCCTGCCTCTAGGGGGCGCACCGGGCCGAGGGGACACAGCCGCGCAGTGGCTCGATCGCGGAGGCTGTCTTCCTGCTGGGGCGCGCAGGCACCACTCTCGCCAGAAGCCCCTCCCCAGAATCGAGAGTCTGC